TCGAAGAAAATTACCTCGCAATTTCTTGAGCTCTCAAGTGCTTCTTGACCGTGATGGGATAATAGGTTCCTCCTTTCACTGTTGCATCGTTTGCTACGATGATGCAAACACGTCCAGCTACAGCTCCTATTCCTGTGATTATACCACCCGCGGGCACTTCTTCTTTTCCATAGGACTGGTATCCAGCCAATTGGCTCAGCTCAAGGAACGACGTTCCCGGATCGAGCAAAGCGTTTATTCGCTCTCGTGCAAGCATTTTTCCACGGCTTTTATGTAGAGCTCGAGCTTTTTCACCGCCTCCCTCAGTGATTTTCTTGATTTTTTCGCGTAAATCGTCTACAACTTCCTTCATTTGACTGTAGTTCTGCTGATACTCCTGCGAGTTCGAATCTACCGATGTTTCTAACGGATGCCATTGCTGAGCAGCTCCTCCGAAACAGTGATGCGCACGTACACTGTAAGTGCCCATGATACAGGGCAATTTATAAACATGTCAGAACGAAAACGAAAGTATAAACAAGACAATGGTGGATTGGCGCAACCAGAACGGAATTATTTGGCAGAATGTTTAAGAGATACCAATTGGGATACGATGATCGGTGTATAAAGGGATCAGCGCCCAAAAGTTGCCTCCGATGGTACAGGTCCTTGTAGTAGCCACGTTCCCATCGTGCTCGTATGAATCTACCTGGAATCATCAAAGGAAAACTTTCATGACTGCTGGATGCAGAATTTGCCATAGCCCTCGGGCAGCATTCACGCGATTTCATCGCCGCGATTCTCCCACAAGATAAAAGTAACGAGTCCATTGCATGCCAATTATCTTGCATATCGGTTGTGGTAGTTAGTCACGACTGGTCGTGTTGGAGAACTATCACAACCAAAATGCAAGATGATCGGCCTGCAATAGACTCGTAACTATCTGTCTTGTTGGAAGAATCGCGGCAATGCCATCGCATGAACTCTGCCCAAGGCGTTATACAACTGCTGAAAATTCGGCAGTAGTTTGAGAAAATTCCGTAAACATGCTGCGGAAGTTCCGAAGAATGCGAATCGCAACAGCAAAAGGGAACACCTGCGCGAACTTCAAACCATGCTCTATAGACTGCGAGATCCACTCATTATCCCCTCCTCTACGATGCCATGTTCGACAATGCACATACTGCTGGCGAGACAGCATCGGTGGAGATAGCACATTCAAAAACCTGCGGAAGTACTGGCAGGTCAAAGTG